TAATAATGAAATATCAAAGGACAGTTTGTATACTATATGCCTCGAGTTCATTTCCTACTGAAGAACTATAGCTAGGTGCCACTTTATAGTCGATATTCAATTTAAATTGCATAAAAACATTTTGAATAGATTAGTCAGCTGTCTATAAGATCTAGCTAAGTCCCATATCTCTCTAGCTTATATATGTCATGATGGAGCCATTATTTGGCTTCGATTTTCAGAATTATGCATTTTTACATGATTTAGTATCTAACAGATATGAAAAATGCAGTTTAAATTATTTCATTGTAGGTGTTTAACATAACTTTACATCAATTGTATCCAACTTTTACAAGCTTTTTAGCACGTATAGCAGTTTGTCTGCTAAATATGAGCAGCAGCCTTATATCAAAATATAAACTTTCATTAAGAAAATTTACCCTTTTCCAGACCCAGTTTAAAATTTTATTTATAGTTATCATCTCTTTATCATCCCCTTCGGAAAACGGAGTTTGGGAGTGGATTTAGCGTTTACTACGTTTGTTCGTCAGTCTGTCACGGCTAAGTTTTGCATTTAGGTCAAGATCGAAACAAACTGTGAGTCGAAGAGGAATGATTTACTATTAGTGCGCACATCTTGGATAGTAACGAATGTCCATGAAAAAAATGGGTTACCTCGACCTAATTCAATTCTGGTTAAGTTTTGCATTAAGATACAAAATCTAATCAACTACAAGTCATAGAGGAATGATATCTTTTAGCCTGGGGTCCTGGCTAATCTCCTGGCGATGTGCAGCTAGATCGGGCCGGGATTCCAGACTATGATATTTTTTAGATCGCACATCTTTGATAACAACAAAGGATCTTGAAAAAAAGTTGGTCACATCGACCAGGAACATATATATGTTAGATATACTGTTCCCAGCATCGACCTATATTTTACACATGAATGATTCTGATTAAAATTTGTGTTAAGGTCCAGATGAAAGCAACAAAAAGTAAAAGAGGAATAATATTTGTTACTGAGCACTTCTTTGATTTTAATGAAGGTCCGCACACAAAATTTGTCACCTCAACACAAAAAAAAACAAAAAAAAAAACTCGACACTCGTTATTATGTCTCTTAATGGAGAACTATTGTTTTACTGTGAATTCTTCTCATTGTTGTTATTGGCTTTCTAATTCTTCTCACATACAAGCTTGTCTTGTTGCTATAGTCTGGGGATTTCAGTTATTTTTGCTAACAAAATGTTTTCCATATCCCATGTTAGGATCCTTGTCAGAATATCTGAATATTTTTCGTTATCTGAGTACTTTACTTTTGATGCTGGATCCTGATTGTTTCCTTGGGGCTTCTTTCTCCTCACGGGGTAAAAATCGGAAAATTGCCGAAACTTATTGGATTTTTATATATTGCATAACCGAATTATATACTTAAAAAGATTTTCATTCATAAAATAGTTATTTTGCACTAAAAATTGCTGTTCCATGCCTTTTTAAAACAATATTACAAATCTTATATGTTTTAGTAAAATTCTATTTCGAATGACATCGCTCGCTGACCAGCATAAATTAATTTGTTTCCAAAATGCAATACATTACCCATGGGAATTTACTTCTGACAGATATTTGGTTCTCCTTAAAAAATACTGGGTCATGATATATCTAAATTGCAGTCCCGGGTAATCTGAAGATGTTTATTTGGGGTTAAAGGATCAGAAATGCACAATTATATATGTTTTTAAATACTTAAGTATAAACATATTTAAAAGTTGTGAATATGATGATACTGATCATTGAAATAAGATCAAAAGACGTTAAAAATGCACCTGGCGTGGAATAAATTCGTGGTAAATTGGTCCTACTTCTTAATTTCCTTATTTCAATCAGAGTTTTATATATTGTATAGATAGCTGTCTTGTTGCCGACTGTATGACTCCAGTGTTGTACGGTTATCTTTGTCGTTGGATTGCTGCTTCATTGACGCATATCCATATCTCCTTTTTTCGTATGAATATAAAAGGAATAAGACATCGTACCGTAGATTGAGTGGATCGATGTGTTTCATGTACGCAAACTATTTCTGTCCAAGTGCAGAATCTGCTGTCGGTGGTTGACCGGTTGTCATTTATCCATGTTGGTTTTTTTTTTTAT